TTAAATAGTTTAACTTATTATTAGTTAGATAAGTAATTTAACACATGTTAGTTTATTATTTTCTTTAAATTTTTGTAATATTCTTTAAAAAAATTATATTATATATACTATATATTATTTTTTCTCTATTAGATTGTAATTAAATTAAAATTAATATATTTTTTATAATTACTTTATAAATTTATTCGTAATATTTGTAATAATTTATTTATAATAGTCATTAATTTTTTAAGAATTTTATTATATTATTAAATACTATTTACTAATTATTTATAATTACTTTTTTTCTAATTATAATTAAATAAAAGATTTATAGGAAGAAGAATATGTATATAACGAATAATAGTTTCTTAAAAATATTCAGCCAATGTAATGATATTTTGGTCATATTTAAACAAAGTTTGAAATTTGTGGTAAAATATTATAAGTACATAATAAAAGAATATAAAAGAATATGCATAAAAGAATCTCATTAAAAATATAATATATATTTTTAATATATAATTTTTTAAATACCAATGTTAAATTTATTTATTTTATATCTTTGTTTTAAAATTTATTGACAAAAATTATTTACTAGTACAAAAATTTTTTTTCTTGTTGTTGATATATAATTGTTATCTAAAATTTTGTTCAATCTTTTCGATATATTCTGTTTTAACCAGTAATGTTGAATCCATGTACCATGAATCACAATTTCACAAAATACAATACGAAAATTTTCCTAATAATACATAATTTTCCTGTAATACAAACATCGATGTATCAATATTTTATTTTTACGATCAGAATCCAAATAATATAATTTTTCTTTCTCAATTTTATTACTATCGCCGTATAATTTTTTCTTACAATTTGTACACACAGCTTGTGTAATTATATCGCTTAATAACAACGTATTATATAAATTACTTGACACAAGTTAAACCTTGTTTGTTTTCTCTCTCGTTCGAATACAGGATTACATGGTATTTGTATAAGTGGACAGATATCGCCGATCTTGCAGAATGTGACTGTACAAGCTTCGAGTGACAGTTGTTTTCGCTGTTCACCCGATATACCTGCTTATACGCTGCAATCGTGGAGTGTCTTCGTTCTCCTAAAGTCAATTTTTATTCGAACTGAATCATTCATCGATTCGATTCGATCATTTTGAATATAATAAAAACGTCGAATATTCGTTCTTGTATTATTAAGCGAACAAATTCTATGTTTCTTTCCTTAGAGAAAATTGAATTTTGAATCCTTTAAAATCTTTTCTCTTTTTGATTTGATTTGAATGTAAATGCAAAATGTTTATTATTCCTAATTATTAGACGAACAAATTAATTTTATATACTTTTTGCAATGAGATGAGATATTTTACTATTAGTCTTTAATTTTTAGATAAATGATATTTAAAAATATAGATCAGTAGTTTGTCCGTGATATCATACAAATTGTATTATGTTATATCGCAAGCTATCTTCATCATATGACGTCATATGAACGATGTCGTGAAATATCTCGTCTGTGATTATAAAGTAATTAAAAAAAATTATATTTATATTGATATTGAATTTAATTACTTTTTATTATTATTGTTACTACTACTATTATTAGAACTCTTTCCCTATATTTGTTAATAGTTTGATTTGAATAGTAACATTTGAATTTTAGATTATTATAGATATGGTTATATGTGATAAGATATCACATATAAGATAATCAAATAATTCTCATTAATTCAGTCTCTCTTTTATCTGAAACAGAATATATATTGAATCCTGAAGAATATATATCATAATCTCTGGAATAAGTTATATTATATTATATTACTCTGCACTTCAAAATCTCGAATTGGTGAAAGTTATTTATAATTAGAATAGTATACTAATATTATAATATTTTTTTCTATGAGAGAAAGGTATATCCTTTTTTCTTTTATCTCTTGGATTTTATACAGGGTGTTTCAATATAAGTTAAATATAAATATTTTCTTATTTTTAATTAAATTAAAATGTTTGAAATATAATTTACGTAATTAAAAAATACAATATAACTGAAAGAAAATTTTTGGTAATTTTTCTAATCAAATATATTCAATATATTTGATAAAAAGTGTTTAAAAATTAAAAAATTTTTATTTGTTAATATCTTTATTTCTAATATTGTATGAGGATGTTAACAATCAGTCATTTACATAGTCATTATATAGTTATAGTTTCAACTAGGTTTATGTAATTAATTTTGTATAAGTCAGCGTCCTCGATTTATCGCTGTGAACAAGCTTAACAGGGATTTACAAGCCCGCGAAATTCAAAGGCATTGGATTGCAGTATACAAGATGCAATAGCAACTTTCCACTTCAAAAGACACAATGAATAGTATAATCAGAATTTGCTATTATTCTGCTATTACTTATATAATAAATAATTACAAGAACATACTAATCATGATTGCTCATTTTTAAAAATATATTATCATTCTTGAACGTTATTTTGAACATTTATATATAAAGTATAAAGTTTCATCTTTCAATCGTAGGATTGTTTTCTAACTGTGAGTAACTGTATGTATTTTAAAATCAAAATTTAGATAGAAAAATAAATATTCTTGAAAAATTTGAAGAAAATAAATTGAAATAAATCTTCAAAACCATTTAAATTTTATTTTAAATGTTTCTTATGCTATTAAAAAGAAATTCAGTCTTAAAAAAAAAAAAGATATTTAATTAAGTCAATAATTGAATTTGATAAATTTAATGAAAATGATAGTAAATCTAATGCTAAAAATTGTTAATTCATATTTTTATTAATAGAGAAGTAATATTATTTATGAGATAAACTATTTTATGATGAACTATTTTATGGAATTCTGGAAATATCGATTGATGATCTATATATGAAATTTTATTTAAATGAAATTTTATTTTATTAGAATAATATTATTTAACTATATTTATTTCAATAATTTATTTACAATTACATTGTTATAAAAAAACTATATATAATCCATCAATTAAAAAGAAGAAAAAGCTCAAATATTATGTATTATTGATATTATATAAGAATTTATAATCATTTATTTTTAGTTTCTAAATATTGTAAGATTAAACCTTTATCATATTTATTTCTATTTAATTCTCTCAAAAAACTACGATTACTTATTATTGATTAAAATTCTGAAATGTATAGGATATGTAATTTTTTGGTGATAGGGAACATGTCAAAAGTTATGACGAGAGAGAATTCTATTGCATTTTTTGTCCAATAGGCGACATCGCCAATTTATAACTTAATATATCCTCTTACATTATCACATATGTGATAAATGACATATATAATAAATAGAATAAAATAAAATGAATAATAAAAAGATAAAATAGAATTAATAAATTGAAACAAAGAGAAAATTTCTCAAAAATCTTTTAAGAAAAATATATTCATAAAATTAAACTCACATTATACGAAAAAATTAAATATATTTCAATTAAGAAATAAAAAATACATAACTATCCCAGAAACTTACGGAAACAAAATTTTTTACATTATAATGCTTTATTTGAGACACCCTGTACGTATAATTCTGTTTGAATCATACGATACTCGTTCGAACCAGTTTGCACTAAAGTCAACATTAACAGTTTCCATGCTACACTGTACTTCATTTTGCGTAGAAACAATTTAAAGCTCAGTCATCGGATAAATGATTCAAGTAAATACTTATTCTTGGAGTTTCGATAAATCTGTCCACGAATCATAATTGAGAATTTCCTTAAATACGATTTCAATTTCAATCTCTATTCGGCTCGGAGGTAATTTTCGTGACGATGAACAATGCGCTAACTAACGCACCGGGAAACGGCGGCCGCAATTCCGGCTGGAAATTACCGCTTAAAATATTCACGGCCATATTCGAACCGACATCCAAAGCACCGCTTAAGGGATTACGTAACCCGGATACGTATTTTTACCATAGCTTTACATTCGAATCGCCGACCGTTTTCTACAACCTGCGCCAGAAAAGAAGATCGATACCATACAAATTCAACAATGTTCGCATTTTCATGGTCTCATGGACCAGTTTTATCTATAGGGTGATTCTTGTTAACATTGCCAGCTAAATTGCTTGTAAACTGCTTGTTATATGAAAACTTGTTATATTTTAAACAAAAGTGAGTGATGGAATAGGGTACAGAATAGTTATTTATGATTATTTTTTTGCTCACATTGAGTTTTTTTTAATTTTAACGTGTAAAATTTGAAATACTATTAAAAAATGTAAACAATAAATTCTGCAAGAGATATTTTTTAAACGATTTTTAACATAAAATATTATTAAGTTATAATTGATATAAATATAGATATTTATCAATAAGTGAAAATAATATTTCTAATTCTTATTATAATATATAGCGCTTACTATTTTTTCCAATTTTAGGTAAGTACTAATTAAAAAATTGGGATAGATAGATAGGTTTAGAAGTTAGTAATTAAAAAACAAATATATTTAATGTTTATTATTTGCACTTATTGATTTATTATGCATATGTATTTATTATAATGAAAAATATCTTATTTACAATTTTTTCCAGTAGCAAGATCAAATTTTACAATTAAGAAATTTAAGTTACAATTATGTAAATTTAAGTTACTACTTTTGTACTTTCATATAAAAAATATTTTTCAACAATTTAGATTAGACTGTTGGAGAATCACCTTATATATTGTATATATGTATATACAATAACGAATAGGTCGAATCGAAACAATAGTAATTTTAGTAGTATTTAATAATAGAATTTTATAAAAAAATTAATCTCATTGAGCTACGCACAGAATTGTTAAAAATAAAAAAGAAAAAAGAAAAAGAAAAATCAAAATGAAATGAAGAGAAACGAGGGACAGAATGGAGACGTTTCACGGTGAGCAGCTTCGATATATCCCAATTCCTCATTTCCTCCTCGTTCATCGTTCATCGCGGTGATACTTTAGGCCAGCGGATTGTCTCGGTTGCAGCATCCTAGGGATGTACCTGTTCGGGGGTAAGTTTTGCATGTGGGCGGACCGGAGTCGGCCCTGCACCTGTGCCGAGGTGGTCTCACGGCACCCATTGTGTCGCTGTGATCGCAAACATTTCAACGACATCGTCTGGGCACTTGTCACGGTTTTTCAGGTACCACTGTTCCCCTCTCTCTTACACCGAAAATATACACTACTACTGTATATGCTAAGTATTTACAAGCATATGATACTTCTATATCTAATCTTTATCTATATCTGTATCTGTATCTGTATCTATATCTATATCTATATCTATATCTATATCTATATCTATATCTATACGTATACTTATTTATAGCTATATCTATAGTTACCCATGAAAATGCATACTTTATAAAAGAATTACATTTGATGTAATTAGATGTTTAATTTTTTTTTCAATGATAAATTCAAGTATGATTCAAATATGAAATATACTAAATTGATCAACTCTGTGAGACTTATTATTGGAATGTATATTTTGTTATTAAAATTTGCTTTTTAAGTGATTTATATTAAGATATAGTGATCACATATGTGTATATATAAATTTTGTTATATATTTAAAAACATAATATCTCATTTAATATTAACTTATGAATATCAATACGTATCAACCATTTTTTAGTAAATTCATAATAATAGTAGTAATATAGCTCTTGATTTTCTTGATAAATAAACTTTGAAATGAAATTTATTTGAACAAAAATTGCGTTTCTATAAAATGTAAAGAAAATTTTGTGGGTGACTGTATATCTATCTATGTATCTATCTATATCTATTTCTATATCTATGTCTATATCTATATCTATAATCTATCTGTATCTATGCCTATCTCTGTCTATTGGTTTGCCTAATATCTATATCTATATGTCTATATCGATGTCTATCTATATCTATATCTATTATCTGCATCTATATCTGTAACTCTGTATCTATAATCTATATTTATCCATATCTATATACATACATGTACGTGTTACATAATATTGTGTATAGTTTTCTTTCGCTTTTTCGCTCCATCGCGTTCCAATTCATTTTCTTGATATCATACGATCGAAATATATGCATATATAGACGTATTCTAAATTTTTTCCTTCTTGTTTTGTTTCTTCTTCTTTCTCCCTCTCTCTCTCTCTCTCTCTCTCTCTCTCTCTTCTTCTTCTTCTTCTCTCTTCTTCT